TTGTGTGACACAATGGACCGTATGATTCGGGACCACGGTCTGTACAATAAAGCGGAATATGGCTGCTGCGGCGTTGATCAACCTCGGGGCCTGCAGTGAGGGAAACACAACAATTCGACTCCAAATGCACTGTTTTGTGGGTCCACTGCCTGCCTGGTTGTTTGGCTTCTGGAAGGGATTCTGCGCCGGCTCTACCGTAGGCTGAGTGGCCGTTACCGTATGCCTTGCATACATGCATGCACTGCCGAAGGTGTAGAATCGTTATTTTTCCGGGTGAGCGGCCCGTCTTGTTCAATGGGCAAATCGATTGCTGTCCGTACTTGGCCAGCGGGCGAGTGAAAGGTCAATTCCAGCAGCAGTGCAGGTTGTGCCATGCGCATTTTCGGCATCATGCAGGAGTCTCGAGATCTGAAGAACGCTTATTCTACCACAATAAGCCACAGCCAAACCATCACCACTACTCTGGCCTGTCCAGAAGCTGCCTGAAAAAGTATGAAACGTTACATTCTCTGCCCCACGCTTGACTTTGTAACCTGCCACCAGTGAGAGATACGGCACGTTTAACTCGGGGAAAAGGAAGAGCAAGGCCGAAATCGGGGAAGAAGCGAGCAACGCGACGCCGTTCGCGTCGGCCTCCACGAAGGGGCAGCAGACGCCAGAGCCAGGGTTGTTGGGAGAGGGGGGAATTCTGTCCACGCCCAAGGTCAAGAACATCCTCCTCCTTGCGTGTGTCGTGCAGGTGACATGAGAAAAAACTGCCGGATGTAGCACGGTACAGCAGAGCGCCTTGCTTTCTGTCTGTCCTTTGTGTCCATTGATTTGATAGGTCTGCCGATGGTAAAGAGAAAACACACAGAGGAAGGACAACACGACACGTATAGAAGCCGAAACGACACTTGAGATGCAGGAAAAACCTAGTTGTGGCATATTGTCGATTTCCTCGGCCGCGTTTGATGTAGACCTGACAGCAGAAGACAGTAGGTTGGGGGTGGTAGTTCCGCGTGTTTGAAGAAGGGGACGGGGGAGGCGACAAGACCTCTTCGACGCGATCACAGTTTCTCGGATAGCGTTTCGTTCTGAGCCACGACGCGCATGCCTTCCTGCTCTCTAAGGAGCCGTGGTTAGGAGTCACCGGTGGAGGAGCAGACAATACCATCCCGAACGAACACATGGTCAACATCATCATCCCTTGCCGAACATCAGACCTCGAACGGCGCTTGCTCAATGGGTATACAGCTTTCAGGCCATCGGTGGTTTTTCGTGACTGGCAAGTCTTTCGTCCTGCGACGAATCTTTTTTTCCCTTCGCCAGCCTGCGAAAACGCGTTTCTAATTTCTCCATGTTAAAAATACCGCGGTGTTGCTACAATGAGATCATCAAACATCCAGATTTCACCACCACCCTGCCTACTCTCCGTTTCGAACGTCCACCGCCGCTGCAGTCATTGTTCACCGGATTCGAAGAGGTTTACCCTTTGTGGGCACTCAGTATCGTGAGCGTCGGGGGACTGGGGTGGAGCACCGTGGAGATCGGAAAGGTGGAGCAGAACGATATGTATTCTTGACCGCTAAGCATGGCAGGCGTCAACAGTTGCTAGCGTGTCGGGGGTGGGGAGGGCGGCGGGCATTGCAATGGCCCTATCAATGCTGCAGCCCATCAGCTCTTGTAACACCCTCCGTCCAACCGCGCGCGCTTGTCCCCCGTCCTCGTAAGCCTTCCCTCCCCCCGTACGCCCCCCTCGATAGATGCGAAATATTCAAATAATATTCGATTTTCGATGTTGCTGTCGTTCGACGGAAGTGCCACCCGAGAGTAGGTGCTTCCAAGGGCCGCGAGACAGACTCCATCACTTGGATATTCATTGGGAAGCATTCTAGCGTGTGGGAGGGGGCGGAGACAGTTCCAAGGTTCACCGGTCGCTTATTTGCGCCCGACAAGTCGTTGCGTAGGAGGCTTACGTTTCTGACTGGCGTCCCGCTGCAACCAACCTTGTGGTCGTCAGTAAGCACGATTGTGAAGCCATCTGTAGGCGTTCAGCGTTGTCCGCGTTGACGGTGATTGCAGGAGCCCGCGCTTTGAATCGCACGGCACACCAAAGGTCATCGGGGGTACTCCATGCACATTCCGCGACAAGCTCTGGATGCAGTTCCGAGAGATGTACTTCGTGGGCGTGAGAGAGGCCTGATTCGCGTCCCACCTGCACCCCCTGCCTGCTTCGCCGTTCCTCGCGACGCCTCGAGCAGGTACTTCTCACGACCGGCCTGATCATGGTGCCCCTTCAGCTGTTTATTTTTCCCTCGTTCGTCAAGGCTCTGGGTGCCGTGCGTTGGATGCGAATGGGATGTTTCTTGGGCACTGTGGGTCTCCTGGCTACTCCTAACGCCACGCTCGTCGGATTCAACAACATCACTCTGTTCGTCTTTTCGGTGGCGAGTACCACTGTGGTCAACTGCTCCTTGTCGGCGGTATGTGCAAAACGATCGAATAGTTGGGTAATGAATAGTGTGTGGTCTCGACAGTCCAGTTCGGCGTTTCGTGTTCGAGGCCAACTACGCTGTGGTTTGGTCTCCCACAAGGCGGACACGAGACGTTGGTGCTATCCTGTGACGCACGATCACACCGATGCGTATGCATGTTCTACTGTTGTTTTTATCCTCCGAGGGCCTCGGCCTTCGAGAACGTAGACGAGGATCTAGGAAGCAAGGAAGACGATGATGACGACAATTTCTACGCGGCTCCGAGTGCGAAGACCGGGATCTTGTATCACGGCATGTCAGAGAAATGTACATGACTGAAAAGGTAGAAGGAAGGTACAGGGAGAGGCATGGAATAGTCATGAGAAGACGGTAGCTGTACTGGGGCGTAGGAAGTAGGTTGAAGAGGCGGGAAGTGATATCGATAGACTAGGCAAAACAATTTTGAGCCACCTGTGGCATATTAGGAAGGAACGAGTGGCCATCAATGATCGGTCCTGTGGGAACAACGCTCCGTCCCCTCGAGGTCGCGTGGTCACTGGTCTAACCGCTGAAGCATGCATAATATGAGTACGGCCGTCCCCCCGAGCGCCTTAAACCATGAACAGGTATCACCTGGAAAAACGGTACGACCATGAGTTGGTCTTGGATGCCATCAAGCCAATTACCCGCGGCTGCGCCCCGCAGGAATTTCAGCCCAGTCTCGTGAAGGTCACATTAGTTATCCTTGGCTGCGTATTTAATTCTCCGGCCACCACCCACCCCCTGTACGCGCGACAACGTGAACCTCATACTACGCCGTAGGTTGGCATGTCGCTGTCAGTGGCATCGACGAGTATCGTCTCGTCCAGATTGCGGGGGAAGCTCAGCGGGCTATACCACATGGCGGAGAGCTCTGGCCGCTTCATTGGAGCCATCGGGTTCGCCGCCATGTTCGCGTGGTCCATCGCCCCTCACTCTACGCCACATGCGTGGGTTGACCACCACTTCGCGTTCTACGCGTTTGCTCTGGCGATGAGCGTGGTGTTGGTGCTAGCCAGGCGGACCCTGACCTCGGATATTTTCGGCGAGGAAGCTGCCGCCACGGCCGACGCGCGGGGCGGGGATGCAAACGAAGAGGGTTACATGTACGCCTAGGTCGTCGGTCGAGAGAAGGGGGTTGCAAATGGTGGTTGGCTGCGTTACATCCTGGTACTACAACAGGGGGGTACCACACAAGGAGCCATGGTTCGTGTTGGGGGAGGTGATTTTCAGCTCTTGCCGACAGCAGCAGCAGCAGCAGCAGCAAGTTCACATGTCCACACTTGTTTGAACCTTGCTGGTTTTCGTGATGCAGGCGTAGCGATCCCTGAAGACTTTTGTGAGACTCACATATTTTGCTGTCCCTTGGAACAGCAGTGCTTACTCTCGATGGTAGGCTCAACACAAAGGGGGGTGTCATTATCCCTCTAGAAGGGGCCGTGAATGTCTTCTTCCCTGCTTCATCCTTTAATCTAGAGTTCCATCCCCCGCACCCTCCTCAGGGAATTGTCCCGCAGTCCCGTCCATACTTCTACATTCCAATCCCATAACGCTAGCCCACTCTGGAGATTCTCATGCCCAGATACTTGAAATCTCAGAAGTTGACGACACGTCGGCACGACAAGGCCGGTATTAACAAAACGACATGATACGGCCAGGCAGTCGGTTTTTATGGCCGAAACGACAAGAAATTACAAGAGCACTGAAACCAAACGTTTCGGCACAACGAGAGAAGGGCGCCATGTCTTTACAAAAAGAGCGACAAAATCAAACCGCAGCAGGGAGCAAAAGAAAGCTCTCTCACCCGAACGGAGAAAAAACGAAATATCAGAAGACTCGAAGGACAACACGACGAGCCAGACAGAAACAAACAGTTGGTCAGAGTGACCGAAGAAGGGGCCGAAATGCCAAAACGAAATCCAACATTCATTGTGCCGTACTGTAGCGAGCAGCAACAGCCCACACGCCAGTGGAGACGGATGGAGTGGACACGACTGGGAATCGGGGATGAAACCAACCCGAAGTTATATGAATCCAGCCCGAAGTCGGCCAGTGTAAACTGCAAAGCAATGCAGGTCCGAACCTCAAGTGAAATAAATACAAGAAACGAATCTACAAGCACTCTGTGCTATTCGGTGCGTGCAAAATCATTTGGCAAACGAACCATTCGAGACGGAGATGCTCCGGGTGGGGGCATGAACGGAATCGTCAACAAGACATACGGATACAGAGGAGGGAGCAGGAGGTTTGCGCACACTCATACTACGCTGAGCGCCAGCCTTACGAGCTCGCTCATTCTGTCGAGAAAAGCGAACACGCCTGCGCTCAAGACAAAGCTCAGACAGACGTGTGGCCTCCTCTTGTGGACCAGCGGCGCGGGTTCCATATTGCCGATATGCATGCAAGACGCGTGGTCGAAAAACACCGATCAATGTGCGACAGCGTAGTAAGCACGTCAGGCGAGCCAACTATTTACACTCTCCCTTCCTTCGCGAGCTCGATGCCATGATCCGTCTGAGAAGCCCTCACACGGTCATCGTCTACGGAGCGGTCACGTCTCTGGCGGACCGCATGGTTCTCGTGGTGGAGCTGCTCTTTGGTGGACCTCCGAACGCTTTTGAGGAACTCCTAGCAGCCCCTTCCCCAGGAGCAATCCAGGCGCATCATCGGAGACATCTGCGCGGGAATGCCTTCCTTCACAGCAAGGACAGAGTTCACGACGACCTGAAGTCGACCAGCATGCTACTGGACGGGTCTGGACGGGAGAAGGTAGAGTATGACAATGTATGTGCTGCAGCTATCAGGCGTGTACGGCGAACGATTCTTCTCGCATTCACTGAGTGTTCTTGTGAAGCAGAGAAGTATACATCTTGACTTGCCCAACCCGATGCCGTACTTCACGGTTTGTACACTTATAGATGGTCGCAGCACATCAACTCAATCGGTTGGCCACGTACACCACCAGGTCCAGCCAGAGCACCCAGGTGAACATCGCCTGGAGCGCCCCGGAGGTAAGCGCTCCCCTTCGCAATCCCGGGCGTACAGCTTTTTCCATCACACCGCGATTGGGGGAATGATGGGACGGACTCACAGCGCCTCTGTCTTATTCGAGATTTTCCAACTGCAGTTATTGACGTGGGGCGATTTCCCTCTCCTGAAATCAGCACATCATCCTGAATTGTACAGCAGTATGTACAGTTTAGTTCTCCCCCCCACTTTTGGGGGGATGATGTTGCCCGCGGTAGGCGGAAGTAGGTGTTGGTTGCTAAATTGTTTTGTCAAGAGCGTCCCCCTCAAACAGCTTAGCTCCTCATTCCCTCCCGGTCTCCGAATAATAGCATGCGGCTGTGATGTTTTCATTTTTCCCATTCTTCAGCATCTGCACCGGGATCGCCAGTCGAGTTGGGATACCCTGCCGGCTCTCTGACGAGCAAGCGCCAACCATCCAAACTGTTGTTGCTCCTTTAGTCTCTCGCCGATATCTCAGGTGCTTGAATCTGGCGGTAGCACCTACGCCAGCGACGTCTACAGCTTCGGCATCGTTGTTTGGGAAGTTGTGTCCGGCGAACGTCCTTGGGCAAACACATCTCACCATGAGGGAAATCCTGTCAGCGCTGTTGACGGGGGCGCGGCCTTCGTCCCGTGGCCATGCTCCATCGTGGACATGGCAAAGGCGTGCAGGGACGAGGAACCCCACGCGCGGACCACTTACGATGCCGTGATGGAGTGCATGAAGTCATACGGCCGCCACGAGTTGTGTAGGTTCGATCAACTATTTGTGCCGGAATCGGGATGCGTGTAGGGGATGATCCTCCTGTTTCTTCTTCGCGTTGGTGTTCTGGACCAAACCAACCGGTACTCCAAGTTGCTCCAAGAAGTGTGCGTGTTGCGCGACGGGATCTAACCGTTTTTCGAAATATACTCTTCTACACTGCATTCATTCGCGTTGAGGCGTTGAGGCACAGGCAGTAAAATACGTCTTGGGTGAAATCCCCCGAAACGCGTTTGGGTACGATTATGGGGTTAGGACGGAGTATAATTTCGGGCTGAGAAGAAGGCGTCGTGGGTGCTGCAGGATGATGAGGAGTCATTTCATTTCAAACCACGATGGATGACTGGCTCTACAGCAGACAGACCGCTACAATTAGTTGTACATACGTAGCTCTTTGCCACACGGGCGATTGGCTACATCTGATACTCTGATACATTCTCTGCCGCACTCACCTAATGTCGAGCAGCACTATCGATTTTTCTTTATCCAGAACGCGCTTCGCACGATCACCACCATGCAGGTCGGTGGTGGCGCCGCCTCCATCTCCCACTTCCGTTATCCAAGTATCACATGGCGCAGCATACGGCACAAACCTCATGTGACATCTGACATTTGAAATGTCATTTTCCCGAGGAATCTCTGAAGGAATCTCCGATGGAATCTCCGAAAAATGAGACAGTTGGAGAACAAAACGTCACACGTCGACGGAGATCTTCTTCATGCCGCCTGCCTTTTGTGGACGTAGCGAACATCTCTCAGCAGGTGACAACAAACACACGCTACCCAGCAGCGGGAGAGAACGGATACTCGCCCTACACTTCCTCTATTCAGCTTTGCGGGGAAACAAGGGGGAGAAGCCGATTCATCAGAGGAAGGTGCGTGTATTGCCAGTCCCTGTCTCGTTGGCATATATATGCCCTAGCTCCGCACCGATGCATCTATTTCTTCTTTTTTCTGCGAGGGGTATTTGTATGGGGTCTCCAAAAGCTTGCCAACGCTCAAGGGCTGGATCGCAGCGTGTACCGCACGTATAAGCGTGCATCGTCAGCCAGCCTCGATTGTCCGTACGCTCTCTAGGCGCCCCCGTCATTAGTTCTTCGGAGCCGCTGGCTGTTTCGTGGGCGTGTGGTGGTTTGCTGAACCTCTTGTCCGTTCATTTTCGGGTGGTGGTTGCGTCTGGCCCTTCTCTCCCTCTCGGCCCCTCTCTCTCTCCTGCGGTGTCCGGCAACGCCGTAGTTACTGCTGGGCTGTAACAGCTATGTACGAACATTCCTCTCAACTTGCCACGGAGGAGCCTTTCCACCGTCAGAGATTGGTACCAGGTACTGCTGTACCCACATTCAGATACACAAAACGGAGCGAAAAAAAACTCGCGCCTTTTTCATTTGGTTGGAGGTTTGAATTTTGCAAAACATGTTGGGGTTTTGTCATTCGAAGAGGGCTTCGCCTCTCCTTCCCTCCCTCCCCGTGTGCAGAGAGCAGAGAGCTGGCTGCGTGTTGTGGCGCTGCGCTTTCGATTGCGGACAACTCTGGAGCGTATGGGAAATAGCTTTTTGTTATTTTTGAAGTTTTTTTTTTCACACATCTATTGGATCTTCCGTGTTGTGCTTTACTTCTTTCGGGGGTGAAGCATTAAGGAATAATAAATAAACACACAGAAAGACTACCCATTCGAGATATACCCACAGTCGAACGGGATGTGGTGGAGTATTTTCAGTGAGTGGAGGGAAACCGGCTGGGTGCTGGAGTTACTTCGAAGCATACACCAGTGCATGTTCGTCGCACTACATGCAGTATCCACAATACAGAAAATGTCTTCCTTGCTCAACATTATGTCAGAACTGCACGTTTCGCTTCCGATCCTGGCCTGGGTGAATCGAAGGCAAAGTACTGCAGGAGGGCTAGTGGGTAGGGGGCCTCAGGGAGAAGAACCCCTCTGTGTGACCACGGGTTGGAGTACGTGGCACAAGTGTTACGATGTATGAGCGCTGATTTGAAGTGAGGACAACAAAAAAGAACAAAAGACTTGAGCACAGCAGTACGGATGCGACCCAGGTAGAGAGTCCTGACCCTTGAACCTCCAAGCGGCCGTTTGAATCCCACAAGAGGAACTGCTGCATATGACACAAGATAACACACCCCCTGGACCGATTTTCAAAGCTCGATTACTCCACGACGAAGAGGATGCATAGACGAAAGGATACGCTTCCAGAGTGCTCTCGACCAGACGACTTCAATGCCGCCGTTGTCGGCCCGGCTACTGTTGCTGTTGAAAAATCGAGCTTTGAAAATCGGTCCAGGAGGTGTGTTATCTTGTGTCATATACGGTAAGAACTCCAGGCTCGGCCAGCACTATTGTATAGGTTCTGAAGTGCCGGCGCTTTCTGCACCCCCTAGTTCGATTCCACGTTGGTTCGGGAGTACCTACTGCTGTCAAGTATTTTCGTTTGCCGACGGGCGGGGGGGGGGGGTCTGGCCGACGGGAACCTGGTGTATACTTGTACAATGCATCGCCGGCATGCAGGAAGTTCTTGGCGCTTTCGCGGCACCGTCCAAAATGAGAGATGCTAGGGCAAAGGTCAAATTGAGGGCAGGGTCCGACATGTGGCGAGAAGAGTAGAAGGTGGTGGGCGACTGGTGGGAGGGGGTGTGCCCATCGTGAAAGAGGGGGGGAGAGCGCGATCGACGCGGTGGCTTCTAGAGAAGAAGAGGCGCATACCTGCATGACCCTCTGCAAGGAAGTAAGAAGTGTGTGCGTAGATATTGTAGCCGCTACTACCCCGAATGAGTGAACGAATGTGGGTTTTCCTCGAACTGTAAGCAAAGCGACGAGGAGATCCCCCGCGAGTGCATGCATGTCTTGGTTATGATTTTAAAATGCATGCTGTTCTGTTTTTTTAGCTGGCCTCGTGCATGTGTCGAAGGTGGTGTGTATCGATCCCCCTTTTTGGTGTCCAATGTACTGCTGTGCGTCACCTGCTGCAAAGTCTGAATGTTTCGATGTTTCAAGGAGTCTGTGGGGGGGGGGGGGGGGTATGGTGTGGCCCCGTGACGATGACGCGCACCAGCCCCCCCGTTTTTTCCCCGTATGCTACAGCAGTACACCCTCCCTGAAAACCCGGTACCTATTTCTGATTTCGACCCCTGTCCCCTTCTTTCGCGCGGCGGCATTAGTCGACACCAGAAAATGGCGTCCCGACAGCAGCAGCAGCAGCAGCAGCAGCAGCGGTGGCGGTGGGGGTCCGTTCCTTCCTTGTCCCTCCTCCTCCCGTTAGTCCTCGTCGTCGCCCTCTCGCCCTTGCCAGCGAGCGCCACGAGCTCGTCCTTCTTCGCGTCCTTCTGTATGGAGGAGACCCAGGTGTGACCTCGTGGTGTTGCTGCGATATTTTTCTCCCTTTCGTGTATTTGTAGTGAGAGAGACGTCGTTGTGGCGCGAATGAGGAAGTGCCACACCCCCAGCCGTGTTTCCGTTGGTCTGATTGTTCCCCTCGAGATTTGACGTAAGGGGATACCTCCGGCACGCTTGGAATGTTGGCTGACGCTCCGGCAGATCAGTAACACGCAACCGAGGGTAGCAGCATGGTAGTGGTACCTTTACCTTGGATTGGACCCTTTGTCGAGCGGGGGTCGCTCAGGTCCGACAAGCATATGTGGCTACTGCTGCTGTACCAAAAGGTGGAATAATATGTTATTTGTCAAGGAGGCGTTTTGAGTGGCCGAGTGACTGCCGCCATCCGCATGCACGGGTGACAATGACCGCGCGCCATGCGTGTTTTTCTTGCTCCACAGGCGTGCGAGACAGACGAAGAGTGCTACGAGTGTCTCCTTAGCTGGCCGGCCACCGACGCAACGACGTGCACCGACTATTCCCTTGAGGTACACTACAGCCGTGGCTTCCGATATGAGAGGGTCGAAATTGATTGTCACCGACTCGACCCGCTTTGGTGTACTTCTAGTAGTTGGGTACTGCTGTACCCTATTTCTCCGGTACAAGAGGGGGACTCCGATATGTAAGGGTCGAGGGCCTTTGTCACACCACCCTCTTCTATCGGAGCCACGGCTGTGCATTTCGTATGCAGAAAGACAAACAAACGAGCAACAGCAGCAACGACTTCCCTTCGGTGGCGAGTGCGTCCCTCCTTGCTCTTTGGTGTTACAGTACACGCGTACGCAAGCACCCGTGCGTATCTACAATAACCGCTTGGCATCTTCTGCTGCTACAAGACGATACAACACCACTGGTGATACGCATTGATCTATCGCGGTTCGGAGTTGTGGTGACCCTCCCTCAAACAATTTTGGCAACTTTGACGTGAAGAGGGAAAAGTTCGGAAGTTGGGTTTTCCTAAAATATCACAACCATGAAAGATATCAAAAAGCCACGTCGAGCAATTTTTACCATGGAGTCTTGTTCTTTGTTAGCGCGCAGTCCGCCTGGTGTTTTTTTTTCTTTTTTTTGGTTGTTTCGCCGAAGAAGTCAAACCATGTGAAACAATGACCCGAAATTTGCACGGAAGCAGTTTAGTTTGGACGGGTACCCTGGAACCTCCAAAGAAAGAAAACGATGTTGATCCTTTCTTTTTTGCGGATACAGAACTGTTCGGCAAGGCATCAGGGGGTTCCGCACGTGGGAGTTTACCCCAGGAATTCCAACGCATTGGATCAGTAACGTTCTGGGCGGCGCCTGCTAGGGGCGGGAGGTTCAATGCAACACTTTGCTTTGCAAGACCGGGAGAACGTGCGAAGCTTGTGTCTAAACTGTTGTGCCGGCGCGGGGTCCTATCCCCACCGTACCGCTGCTATTCCTCGAGCTCTTACCGTATCCCCAGCGCAAACTTATACGGCTGACTCGGGCTTGTCGCTGAACTGTGCCGGGCGTTTGGGTAGGCGCCCGGTCAAAAGCAAGGCGGGCGGTGCAGAACTTTGCCGTGCGCAGAGCGTCTCATCGTCACTATTTGGGGCATCGCTGAAGATATTGCAATGTGCTATTATAGCTAGATGTTACCTTTGACCTAGGGTTGCGCCGTGAA